CATTAAATGAGTTGATGTGCCATTAAACAAATCAACTGACAAAAATTAGTTCGTAACTTTACAATTATCTTTTTCTTGTTCCTCTCTATTCTGTGGTCCAGTTACACAATCTCTTTGCTTCCCCCTGTACAATCCTGCCACCAACATGCCCTGTGCATGTCATATTCTCTGAGCCCTCTTTTTACATTATGAGTCTGGAAATCTTTTTCGTTACCATTTTCCCTAAAACTTCCTCGTTCATGGCGTTCTCGGCTTTTTCTGTAGAGCCACAACGCTGTTGCAATTAGGCATCTCTTCATCTGAGAGGAAATTGTCATCCTGAATTCACTGCCATATCAGAGGATTGATATTACATAAACGTTAAGCAATCTTTTCTTTGTATCTAGCGAAATTTTCCTCTTTTTTAATACTATATTTAGCTTTTGGAAGGCATCTTTCTCTATTCCATTTCCATTTTAGATTTTGGTATTACATTTTCTGTTGCCTGTTAAAACAATTCACAGAAAGTTAAATTATTATTTTTGTTTGATTTTAACGACCTCAATTCGTACTAAGCTTATTCAGGTTACTTATCATAAAATTAAACAGGTATTGAACTATCTGGGTGTGAAGCAAAAACAACGGGAAATTTGACTTTTGTCTTGTGCGTGTCAAATTCTCTTAGACCTCTTTCTTCATTATGTGTCCCAGATATTTGAACAGTTTCTTGCCTAAGTATGTATCGTTTTTGTTCACACTTTCTGTAAAATTTCCTCATTTCTCACATGCTCCGTGCATGGTATTCTCAGCTTTCTTTTGTCGATCTACACCTCTGTTGCAACTAGGCTTGTCTGTGAGGAAATTGTCCTGCATTCATTGGCATATAAGAATATTGATATTCCATCTCATTTCCACTTTCTTTCTTTCATTTTCTTTGTTTTCAACCTTTTTCTTATTTCTTAATTCTTTGTTTAGTTTTTGGAAGGCATCTTTCAATAAAATAATATTAGTTGACTGTTATAATAGGTGTAGTTATGCTGCTGAAAAACCGTTTTCTTCAATTTAGACTATTTACATTATTCCAACTATTGTCTTCATCTTTATTGCAATATTCAAGACGTTTCTTCCGTGGTAGGCTTCGACCATCCTCAGGTGATATACGTTGGAATTTCGAACCTAATTCTTTATTTAGTCCACGGGGACATATTGTCCTTAATTCACGTGTCATGCTTTTTTATTTTGTACATCACAGTTTCAGTTAATTCCCTTTTAGTAACTCAACCATCCAAGTTTTAATTCCCTTTGCTGTGGCCAGTTATTGAACTCATAATTCTTCGGGTCAAGTCATTTGTTCGGATTATTTTAATCAACGTTTTTATCCACGTTTTTATCCACTGGGCCATGAGAATTGAGTTACTAAAATGGAATTAACTGAAACTGAGTTATCCACAAAATTAGAACAATTTATCCCCGTAGATTACGAAGGGTTCAGTTCGAAATTCCAGCGTATATCATCTGAGGATGGTCGGAGCGTACAACGGCCGAAACGTCAATATGGCAATAAAGATGAGGAGAACAGTCCGAACGATGGAAATCGTGTAAATAGTTACAATACCTCATTACAGAAATATAGGCAGATACCGTTTTCTACAGTTTGCAGCATCTTCAAAACTGCAGCAGGTAAACAATCCGATATCCCCAGATCAGGTCAAAAATGGAGTACTGTTGTCATATTTGTATAGGCCCTGCCCAGTCCTTACATTCCAGTCTCGATAGATTCCAAAAGCCCCTCGGAGATCCTTATAGCTGACAGGTGGGACGTAGAAAGTCTCTCAATGCTCTATCTCTACTTCGATGGAAAGTGCTCGGACGAACTGCATTCCTTATTTCTGCCTGTTGCAAGCTTTACGGCTAAGAACCACCATTCTATGCTTATTGTTGCGAACCACCCTCATTCGTTTCGTATTCCATTGGTGAGAAATAAGTTTTACTCGAACAGCTACTTCCTCCGAAAAACTGCTCTGTGGAGTCGACTCCCAAGAGGATGTTTCTTCGATCACTACAATCTTAACGTATTATCTTCCTCTCCTATCCACAGAAAATGCCTCTTACTCTGTAATCTACCTCGATTAGCCTCCGGGCGTTGTGCAGAGTGAACAGAAGATCGCAAGCGTCGAACAAGCCATTAATAACGAAAAGATTTTGTAACATGTAACTTATCAAGTGAAGATCGTACTTGAAAAAAAAAGGATAAAAAAATCTGTAATCTCAAGTGCAAAAACCAAGCGGATGGCCAAAAAGGGACAAGCCATTGATGAAAGTAATCCACAAGCTGCATCTATCTGTTTAACTAAAGAAGGCCTTGTCAGCCACCTGAAACGTCGCATAGTGACACCCAATTGTAACTACTGAGCTTTCCCAGTAAATAATGATCTCCTCACATATTGTGATAAGTCAGGTTCCAGTCAATCTGAACTGACAAAACACTTTAAAACACTTTAACACTGCCTGACAATACATCTGCCAAATTGTTTACCGGCTTCAAGAATCATTGTCAATATTACGACCGCCAATGGATGTTAGTGTTAATCATACTCGTTTAATTAGTAGACAGCTGGCATATATGACTGTAGTCGAATTTCACGTCTGCATGTCCCGAAGCCTCTTCAGTCCATAACTCGGAAGCTGGCTACCGAATTGCGTCTCAACCTCTCTCATCACAGGGGTGAAACCGTTGGGCACTTGACAGGTTGTCATCAATGTGAGTAAAGATTTTCTTCCACACTAGTTTTAAAAGAGTGATCCTTCTCCTAGACAGACTACCAAACGGGACTAATGAGTTATGTCTAGCCGAATTGGGATGGGTAGTTGTTTAGAAAATTTATTTTTATGAATTAAATTTCTCCGAGTTCTGGGTCATTTAGATCAAAGATTTCAAGGAACTCAA